TTGAAAATTTTTTTATCCATAAAAATATTTTTTATTTATTTATTTATTTATTTATTTATTTATTTATTTAAATGTATTTATTTTTTGCTAGGTTTCATTTTCATTAATGCATAAATACCCTTTATTAAACTACTGAATTATTTTTCCTGCAATATTCATTGTATCTGATATATTTAGTGTGTGTGATGTTGCATTATGATATATAAAGTTTGTAATATTATATGTTTATTATATCATTTGTTTGTGTTTTGTGGTCTCAGGTAAAGCATTTGCTCCAGAGTTTTATTACGACACCTACAGTCCGCTGTGGCAGAACCGGCCGCGGGTTTACGGATATAAACTACAGTGGACGCAGATGAACCCTGGAGCCGTTGACAGAATCATGGCGTATCGACTGGGCATCCGACAGGTGCATTTTTATTTTATTTATTACACTAAGATTAATTAATTTTTTTATGTTATAAATTTATTTTATTATTTCTATTATCTTATTATTATTTTTATTCTTAAAATAATTATATTGTTGTTATTATTATTAATATTATTGTTATTATATATTGTTATAAATATATTCTGCTTATTTTGTGTTATATTCTTCTGCTTATTATTATTATTATTATTATTATTATTATTATTGTTAAATCATATTTGAATATTATTATATCAAATTATATATTATATATAACATAATAATATTATTAATATAGTATTATTATTACTATTCATACATGTATTACTCTTATTATTTTTTTTTTATTGTTATTATTGTTATAATTATTATGGTATTATTATTACTTTTACTCGTATACTTACTCATATTATTAGTAGTATTATTACTTTTAATGTTATTATAACACGTTGTCTACTAAATTTTAATATATTATTATACATTAAAATAAGTGTATATTATTAATATTGTTTTTTATTTCTCATTTAATATTTTAGTATTATTATTATTATTGTGTAATTATTTTCATTACATATTATCATTAATATTTTTGTTATTTTG